GTTATTCATACATCTTTTAATGCCGTATTTTGTTTTAATACATTGTTGCTCACAATTGGAACACAAAAACGTTGTTGTCGATGTACACGATTTCCCAAATACTTTCAAAATGCCTTTCCATGTTGTTGGTGATGAATCAGGTTGCGGTAATAGCGATTTGATAATTTTCAGTAATCGAAGAACGTTCTGTTTATTAATATTGGCATCAATATAATATTCAGTTAACATTTTGATAGCGGCTTTAATGGTTATTGCGGTGCCTTGGTATAACGGTCTTGATTCTCTGTATGAAGATCTAAATCATCTGAGCGTGGTAAATTATCATGTTCATCTTCAACGCAATCTTGTACGGATGTCGCCGGTTTTATTTGAAATGAATTTTGCTGTGTATCATTATTAAGCTGTTCTTCTTCTTCATCAATATCGGTACAAGTTTCATCAGAATTATCAAGCGCTTCTTCAGCTGTTGTTTGTTATTCATAACGACGCATACGTTGTTTGTTAACTTTAAGCGAGGCATAATAAGCTTTCTTTCGCGGCATATCATAAACGATACTGCAGCACTTTTATAGATTGATCACGCTCTCAATCTCACACTAAAGTACACCTATAGTAGAGTGTGATCAATCTGTAGAAGACCCGATACAATTGCAAAGACAGACTAAGACTAGTTTATTCACGAAAAGTGAGAGTCATCAAAGGTACCCGACCTTTAATATCAACGACTCGAGCCAAATTACAAAAATGAAATAGGGAGAAAGAAATAACAGAAATTGAGACAGGGCGATAGTTTCAAACGTCGGCAAGAGCGCCTTTTTTATGAATAGACACGATGAATACAACTTTCCGAAGGGCTGGAAAGTTATCAGAAGAAAAACACAGATGAAAAATAAGTGTCGATGAGGTGAAAGAATGTCAGCACAAGTAGAAAGAAAGGAAGAGGGGATTCCATCAGCACCAACAGTATACTTTCTATCCAACTTCCGGAGTAAACTCTCAACATCTCGCACGGAGAAGTCAAGCTTATCCATTGTTGGCAAGTCCGGAGAGGTATAGGGAGGAATTTGACCCTGAAGATCAGAATAACAAGACGAAAAATGAGACGCAAACAGGATCCAGTTCGAGCCATGTTCTTGTATTAGTATAACACAGTACATCACAACAGAAAAGAAATTCATTTAGCTTATTTTGAAGGTTTCTTTGTTTTTCTTTTTGTGTTTTTATTGGTCAAAATTATCTTCCAATTAAGAAAAGGATGGTAGATGATGCCTATAAACCAAGGGGGAAACAGCTGATTTTGGGATTTATCCGATTTTGACTGATTTTCATTGATTTTCACTGATTTTGACTAGTTTTCATCGATTTTCATTGATTTTCGTAGATTTTCACTGATTTTCAGCGATTTTCGTTGATTTTCACTGATTTTCACGGATTTTCAGCGATTTTTTCCGATTTCTTATGATTTGTTTGGGAAATCAAGTAAAAAGACTGCGATAAATAGTGCAGAACCTCCTTTATTTGTATAAAATAGTAATTAGACATAGTGAAAGTAAAGAAAAAAAAGATAAAATCATAAGCGATTTTTAAGGATTTTTAACAATATTTAGCGATTTTTAAGGATTTTTAACAATATTTAGCGATTTTTAATGATTTTTTGCGATTTTAACCGATTTTCGATTTAAACTGATTTTTCAAGCTCAAAAATCAGCTGTTTCCCCCTTGCTATAAACACTACTGATACTGACAAACAGCACTTCATTTTTCGTATTCTTCATTTCATTTCAGGACAAGCTCGTTCGAAGTCGAAACACATATACATTTTTCATTTTCCTAAATGCACACAAATTACCATTCAGGGATCCAGCCAGATGATCCCGAAATTCGTACTGGGATCTAGTGAGATATCGGTACTATCAGCGGGATTGATGGGATTTTGCGAGATCTCGACAGAAAAAGTACATCTTGCGAGATCCCAGCAGATTTCATCCTAAAAGTTCAACATGGGAAAAATATGCAACCTTTGAGACATAGTCGCAGGATTTAACGCATCCCTAGATACTAGGACGGATTAAATTGACGGATAACTTCTACATCTGTAGGGTAGTCGTTTTCTGTAAAATATTACGTGGGCAAACATCTTATTATTTGAAAGTTCAACTTCGTTACCATCAGCCGAATACATGATATAATCTCCGAAGCAATAACTCTCAACAAATTGAATCGACTGAAGAAAGACAAAAATCCTTCTTCAATATTGTGTCTATTGATTGGAATAATTTACCTCCTCAACAACAGCTGCTGAAGCCAGCCAAACTCAAAGAGCATTTGAAGAACACAATCATCGAGCAAAGACCACTTAGACAGTTTCCAAAACATTTGTCGTTTCCGAATCGAAGGGCGGAGATTCTATTTATGCGGTTGAAATCAAATAATCCTCAACTTAATCATAATTTATTTAAACGGCATTATATTGATTCAGCGGCATGTATTTGTGCTGGTGGTGATGAAACGTTGAGTTATTATTTTCTTGAATGTTCTCAGTTCAGTCCATGCAGGAAACATCTTGAACTAACACTCAGTCGTATCGGACTCTCGCTATCTGTTGACATTTTACTACTCAATGATTGTTCTATTGACAAAGATGCTATGAGTGTTGTACTTCGAGCTGTGAATGAATATATTGAAAAAACGCAACGATTTACATGAATATTTTTATCTTTTGTTTCTTTCTCTTTGTGCATTCCAATTCATTTGTTTGATATTTAATAATAACAATGTCAATATGTCTTGCTTTGTTATCTTATATAGTCAGAATGATATTATAAGTAACTAATAATAGCTTGTTGATACATACTTTTTCTCTTACTATCTGATTGTGCGTAGTTCTATTATTGGATGTATATATACACATAAATAGTTTTAATAAATTTAATATTACATCTTCGTACTGATATCTAGTATCATGTTCTTCGGCCAAGAGAATAATATTCACAAAGGTGACAATGGTCAAGTCCATTTTGAAACCAAGAACATATTTGATGCGCACCAAAAGCAATTTCACTTGAATTGACGAGATGTTGCTGTGGTGATGTTACTACTAATTGTCGGCTTTGCGTTGGTCTATCTGCTGGCTTCGGTATTCATTGAAGAAGAAATGAAACAACTCCAAAACATTACTTCTTTCTCTCCTTCTTTATCAATTTTTCATTTCTTACGCATACATGCTTATATTGTTATTTTCTCTTTTGTATTTA